CAAAACATCGATCCGTTCTTTGCTGCAGACTGGTGTGAGTTGCAGTGATTAGTACGTGACTTAGTGATGTGCAAATTGAAGCGTCAGCTTGGCATGCATCAAACAACCCAACTATGTTAAAGTGTTTTCGTAGTACAGGATGCAAACTGTCTGCGCTAATCTACCTATGACCTAGCTACACCCTGAGCCACACAAATTTCTTACAGAAATGCACTGCATCCACAACTCTTTGTGTTTTGTATTTGCTGTGTTGTGATTTTCTGGAATTTACTTTGTTAACGTGTCATTGCACCTTTGTGTGACTCTAGGCATACATGAGGCCGGGGGTGGGCACACGCGCTACAAACCTTAATTTCTCGTATAAACTACTATACTTTGTCTATTACCAAATACATTTAATGTGCTACCCTCTCGTCCTCTTTAAGTGTGAAATGTAACTCTACACTATGCATTACTAGGAATTAAAATCTAATCTGCGGAAGACAATCGCAAAGTTTGGGCCAATTATTAATGTTCTGAAAATAACTTTTCATGCTCATTGTCTGTTCATATTTGTGTTTTTTTTTATCTCAATTGACATGGGGATAACATTCTGTTACTCAAATCGGATGTTAAATTTTTGAATTTTAAGAGTTAAAAAGAGGCATGTGCCACTCGTCTTGGGGCAAAGGATGAATCACTTTGTCTGCTTGATCAAATGGCCTCATGTTATAATTTCCGACTGGCTTATGAGACTCTTTCTCAATCTCAACCCCGTTGTGCCAACTCTTGTGTATGGGTCTGAGGTGTCGAGTAATTCGTGTTTGCGTGTTTCTCTCAAAGAAAAGTATGATGCGTTTGCAACAAAAGTTTACGGATTGTGAGAGTGTGAAAAAAGAGGAAGAAGACCGCAGAAGAAGAGGAGGAATAAGAGAGACGGAGATAGGAAAGGTAGGAGAAACAGTGGGGTGAGGACTGGTAATAGTTGTGATATGCATTTGAATATTTCACTGGCACTCTCAGGACCCACCGCCGATGCGCAATTTTTTGTGCTATCTTTCTATTGTGGAACTATTTTTTTCACCCTATCCAAACATGCTCGTGATGAAAAACGACAAGAGCTCAAATAACTTGTTTAGAGTATGCAGATAAGAAAATTGAAGGAAACGGGCCATCTGAGCCGGGTGGTAGCTGAAAACGTGCAGTGAATGACGTTTAGGACATGCACTTAACCGTCCAATACATGTATTGCAAGCGTCGGTTAGGAATATAAACAAATTACACATTGTAAAACGGTGCCATGAAACAGCGAGCAAATGCCTGAAGTGGATGTTCATTTATCTAAATACTAAAATGTACATGCCTTTAAACAAAGTACTTTTTTAAATTATCGAAACAAACCTCTACACATCAATGACAAAGCATTGTGGATGCTGCTTTTTACAACCTGGACAGAATATATGGCTTGCCTACACATGTAACACCGTTTTGGGTGAGGAAGTGGAAAAATTTACCTCTACCGGACGAGGGCAGGCTACTCTAGTTTTGTCAGGTTTCCTCTCTTCGTATAAGTGAAATTGTTTCGAGTATGTTATGTTCAATTTATAAATAGGGTTTTTTGGAAGTTTATGTCCTCTCGAATTTTTCAGAAAGTTGTACTCAAATTACAAGTTTACACTAACCCTCCTTTATGAAACACCCTTTTTAAACAACACTATTAGGGAGTTAGTTCTCCAAAATATGACACCGGATATAAAATTAGTAAAATATAAAATATCACAGACAAGAGTAAAAAGATGAGGTGAACACTGAACACGTCATCGTATTTTCTTTCCGGTTTGCCGCGTTTTTTCTATCTTGTGTTTATTTCCGGTCTCAATATTGAGTAAAATACTCTAATGCGAAACACACGAAAATCTCTCATACTTTACTTGGTTAATGTGTTTGTCTTCAGTACAGTCAAGTCTCGAAAGTGCCTTAATGTGGATATAGAATTTCCTAAACATAAGCGCGATTCTCAAGCCAGGCGCGGTTTTCACGCCCAGCGTGATGACAGTCGGTTACTGATTGGCTACGTATAAGGCGTACGGAGCGTGGAAATCACGCCTGGCGTGAAAATTACGCTTGCCTTTCGTGAACTCTTTATCCACACTTACAGACAGAAAATGTGTTCTTTCGATCAACGGGATTCCTTGGTCATGTCCAAAAAAAATTTCGACTGTATTTCAATTTCAAAATATTGAAACAAGGAAAATCTGTCGTTAGGCCTAAGAAGCCGACGGTGAAACTAATATATATTCCTAAATATAAAATAAAAAGTCTTAGGACAGTTTTGTAGATTCAAAGAACTCATTTTGTAGGTGTATTAAATAATGTCCCGGACCCACTATAAAAAATTTTGTCTAGCTGTTACCATTTTATTCCTATTCAAATCTACGAAATGTTTTGGCTTTTTGTTTATAAACGGGGGGAAATCAGTTGTTTCTTTGATAATGATCTAAAGTAACCTACATCTGTACACTGAGCGAATGTATATGCCAAAAAAGCTTTTGATAATCAGGTTGGTATTTAGTATACTAGTTAAAAGTGCCACCCTTACCACAATTTTTCTCTTGGCATACCATATAAAAACGAATAAAAAAAATTACGTTTTATCATGAACGCCATCTTGGTTGTGTGTAATGGGCCCTACAGGGTGGGTGATTTGCGCACTCTTCTTTTTTTTTCAGGTACACTGTATAGCATGCAGGCGTGAAGGCGGGTCTCCTATAAGGCATTTCAATCTAGCTCCACGAAGGCAAGTGGAGAAAAATGAAGAAGTAAACCGGAAAGAGATTTCAGAATTGTAGTCTTGTTTACGGGCTACGACTAGGAAATCTATTTCCGATCTGGTTCTTCTTTCTTTACTACTCTCCTTCGTGGATCTCGAGATAAACTGAAATTGTGTTTTCGTTGGGCACCGTAGGGCATCGTGCTCAGAAACGATAGGCAACCCCGCCTGCATGCAGTGCAATAGAACTAGAAAAAGAGACAGCGAAAATAACCCACCCTGCAAAGAGAAATGAGCGTTGTGCGGGGAGGGGATTTGTCGGCTAGCCTCAGGTGGCACTACCTCGCAAAACTGTGTCTGTGTCTGATTTAAAATTCACAGATAGCCAAACATGCTCTAGAAGAGTACAAAAAAGGGTGATATACTAACTAACTAGAAGAACCATTGAAAACAAACGTATTAAAATATTCCACGTGTGATATTGGCAGACATCAAAAAACATTCTATGAGCACCAGTCTAAACAGGGGAATTCCCAACCAAGCGGTGGACAACAATAAAATAGAACACCGCGGCGGGCGGAGCGCGATGCCAGCCTCCAAATGCATATCATACGTAAAGGGCGCACAGTGTGGGCGGGGCTGGGACGAGAAGACAGACAGAGAGAAGAGGCGGAATAAGGTATGAATGAGGGTTTTATGACTGTCTGCCAGAAGCAAAATCACGCAACCATTTCGATGCCTCCTGATTTCTTTATGTATACAAAGCTCAAGCAAATGTTTGATTTAATTTTTTCGGTTGCATTGCGGAAAAGAATAAGGTCTATGGTTCAATTATTTTGTTAACCTAGTTTATGTTTACGACCATTGTTAAGGTATGCTACTAATTTCAAAGTTAAATTTGGTGTCAATCACCTATCGTTTGAAATCACTAAAGAAATTACAGGTAGGCGTAAAGTTACAAGATTTTGCGACGGACACTTGGGTTTTGGCCTGGGTTCCTCACCTTCGACCACGTTCGTTCTTCAGCGTGCCTCCATATTTGGCTCTAGTTCCGATCAGATCGATAATCTCGGGGATACAACTTGCGAATATGGCCTACGCACACAGATGTGACCCCAGAGTGTGGTAATGACACAGAACACACATATACATAGAGACATGACATGGTGAGAAAACTGCGCCGGCGTCACAGAAACCATGGCTTGTTAGCTGGCAGCTCGACACTACAATAGCGTATCGAGAGCCAAACACAGACATGTAGAAGCAGACATGGTAAACAAAACTAACGATGAGAGAGAAAGAGAGAGAGAGAGATAACAAATGAAACAAAAAAAGGAAACAAAAGACTGGAGGTTCGCTTTCTTTTTGTGGAGTAGAAATAAAAACTGCCCTCATTGCCAGGATTTTGTAATTGATTTTGGCTTCCATTCAACTTAATTCTCATCCACCAACGAGCCAATGTTTCTTGGTGAGCGCGCCGGGTGGGGAGTCTGCAAACAGGAAGGGGCTGGACCGGATGGAATGTATTGTGAGGACTAGCAACAAAGACAATCGCAAGATGCAGCTTTGTACCAGCTCTTGCACTAGGCCAGGTCCGTGTACTTAAGAATTTATAGGATGAATTTAAAGGAAAATATTCAAAACTACGTCATTGAAAGCGTTCTTATGAACACGGGGGAAGTCATTTGAAACCTAATACTTTTGTCCTTTCCCCCTCCCCCGACAGTTTCCGTTCTTGATATCCTCCGTGATTTAGCACGTCATGTTTCGTCTAAGTGCCTTTATCACGAACGAATTTTCGTTGATTAGGACCATGTGATGTACAAAAAAATAGTTATTATCTGTACAATGACCCCTTAAAGAGCCTTATGCGCAAAAAATGCACGCGTCATTTTTCACATCAAGAACAACCAACTGAAAAGGCGAAAAGTGTTTCAGAACAGAAATCTGTGCTAGCGCTTCCAGTCGAAATATCTTGCATTTGGGTCAGTCAGTAAAATAGATTTAACATGTAGTTTACATGTATTTTTCTTGTATGTCGGATAAAATTGCACAATTTTGGGGAAACTGGAAGCAATTATAAAAGAAAATATTTACGCAACAAAGCGGGCTAGAGATAAAGTATTGGTAAAATAACACCGCTAAACCCATTACAAGCACTGATGTGGCACGATGACGTTGTAATTCATCCTTGATTGCGGTTTAGGATTTAAAATTTCAGACATACTACTTTGACTTGAAAAGGACATTTTGTTAGAGAATTATTTTTTATACTGCAAGCGTGAAAACCTACTTAAAATAACTTGGGGCACCAACTGAGTGCCGTGATCAATCCTCGGTCTTGAAGAGCTGGGCACCAAACTAGGATATTGTTGTGAAGTACTCGTAAATCTGGAGAAGCTAGGAAGCAATAAGTTGCGAAATATGGCAGCTCTTGTGCAAACTACTCGGGGAAGTTTAATCAGCCAGTGAGTTCTAGCACAAAGGTCTACTCTAAAAACAAAAGGTATAGAAAATTCATGACATCCATCAGTTAGTTTCGATTCATTACGATAAATGTATTCTGAACATTACAGTTATGCCACATGGAGACAAAGTATAGTGAAAATGCTAGTGCGAACTGACGACTTTGACATTCTTGTATTCGAACAAGGCATGCCACCAAGAAATTGATACATTGGCTACGGTGGTAGATGGACTAGAGGTCCAGTTGTTGCCGGCCCCACTCTGTTATGGGGAACCCTCTCAAGCCCGCCCGCTCCGAATGTTTAGTGGTGCGGCAACGTTTCCTACGGGCACTTTTTATTTTAAAGCGGTCACAGTTGATAGAGATGAGTAGGAGTTAGAAAACACTTAGCAGGAAAGGCTGCTGACGTGGCAGGAAAACTTTTTTCCGTTATTTGCGGCTCTTGACCGCTAACAACCATTTACGATTTTTAGAATTTATGAATATAAATTGTAATTAAAGGCCGTTTGGTATCGCTACGGCAATCGGTAAGGGCTTATCATTATCCCTTCGATTTATGCCCCAAAATTCTCAACATCATCCGAAAAGAAAAAGTATCCCATTTTCCGCCACACCGTTGTGCGTTTAGGAAAAGGCGGTGAGTCTATGTACAGTGCGCTGGGAGAGGTGGGGCCGGCACTGTCGGGCCTGTCATTTCAAATTATGCAATCCTATTGGAGGGACTGCACGCCCTCCATGGATTAGGAAACTGCTACGAGGAAACCCGAAAGATAGAGAAAAACATAACAGAAAAAAAAATATGACCGTCTGGATACGCTGCAATAGAAAGAAGCATTGGTGCTTGCCTCCGTCTCTCCCGCTTGTACGCCCCGCCAAACTTGTTCCGCTGAGCTGCCAGCGCCGTGATCTCGGGAATCCAACTGGCAAAGACGGCCTACACGTTTCAAAGAAATACAAGCCCCCAAGAGTTATCTGGTTTCGTATCGTCGGAGAGAAAAAAAAGGCGTTATAGAAAGACATAAGACGTGCAAAGATTAATGTGTCATGCCGAACTGCAGCAGAACACACAGCATTTTATTGGCTGCAATGAAAAGAACTAAGAGCCCGAAATAAAACAACAAAATATTGATTGCAAAGAAATGAACTGAGTCCAAAAGGTGAGATGAACTATCTCATCCCTTCATTATATAATTTAAAGTTTAGTTTAGTCAAATGATATGTCGATATGTCGACACTAACATCTGAAGTGTCCAGCTGACAAGCACCGATGCTTGCGTGTATTCAATATACCGATATAAGTACTTGCAGGCTTTAAACTGAGAAGTTGCACACCTGGGAGTGTTCAGATTTCCAGTCAAACAGCTGCTAGTGTGCGACTCGGTGTTGAACAAACACTTGCATTTGCTTGCCTTTTGAAGACTTCAGTTGTCGGTGTAACTCTAGAAAAGTAATGACACTCGAGCGTCGTTTTCCATTAACATCCTTCTCGCCGAGACTTAAACAGAAATTTGTCACAGCATCCCTCGTAACACGGTTTCCAAATTCAGAGAGAAAACAATGAGGAAATTCTCATTTCCCGACAACTTACCAAACCCACGAGGAGGAAGAACACTAAAAAAGTCCTGCCGAGGACTGTATTGCAGTACACGTCTCCATAGCCCACAGTGGACATGGTGACGATGAGGAAGTAGACGCACGTCCAGTACGACAGCTGAGACGGGTTGGAGAACTCCAGTGGGTCCCCCGAGTTCTCCAGCTGCAGACATGTTCAGGTTGCAACACTCGAATCCCTCTCTCCACCGCCGCCGAAAAGTGCACTTTTCTCACCAAATGGATGATCCCGGCCGCCGTCAGCCATACAGAGATGAAGATGGACACGAGCTGCGCCAGTCGTATTGAGCTCGACGTCTTGAGGATGTTCAGGTACTGCAGGATGTCCGGCACAGTCATCAAGCGTAGTGCTCGCAGGAAACGCAGGCCTGGAACACGAGAGCCCGATGAGCCTATGTTTGGTGCGGGCGGCGTTGTGCGTTGCAGCCGAAGTACTCACCAATCCATGTTCTATCAAGGTATATCGATACAAATGAGGGTGGTATCGTAAAGTAGTCCACAAATGAGTACATTTCTAGCATAAACCAGAACTTGTCACTAGCTGCTATAAACTGTATACGAAAGAAAAACGAAATGTGTCATTATCTCGTGCATATTTTCGAGAAGCAGAAACTCACCAGAAAGAACGCCGGACAATACTCACTCGTATAAAAAAGTATACCATAAAAAATATATTGAATGCTAAGTCTATTTGTTGAGTGATGTTGGTGCTCCATGTTTGACACCTTTCCACCTCCTCACTGTAAAACAGGATCGAAAATTGTGTTACCCAAGACTGTCGCGCGATCATATGTTGTCGCTTTATTTGAGTCGCTCACCTTGAGGCGTCGATGAAATAGATGATGAGTGAAGCGATGCTAAGAATAAACACCAACACGACCTGGAACAGACCAAAGTACATGTTAGCGATGCCCCGATGGTGGGCGATGATAATGTCTCTTTGATGTGCTCTGCTGCGCCTCTCGACGACGCAACCACTCCATTGACCCGGGTCGATGCCAGCGCGGCAGTGGGTGGTGTGTGTGTGCGAGAGAGACAGAGACTTAGGAGAGGGGGGACAGGGCCGTGAGCCCGCACCGTCCTGCGCGGACTTTCTTAACTCATTGTCCTGTATACACAATGTTGAAATTTTCATTTTCCCTTATACATGTTTCCGGGGGTAGACCCCTTTCCTTGAAAACACTGAGAAATATTCCAAGATATTTCCCCCCAAAATCCATAGATATTCCTAAAAGTATTCAGGTCCCAGTGACAATAGTCCAGCAGATAGTGAAAGAATATTCCAGATGTTCCAAAAATATTCCAGATGTTCCAAAAATATTCCAGATATTCCAAAAGATTTCCAAGTATTCCAAAATTATTCTAAATATTCCATGTACAAAAAATCAGTGATCCACCCCTCGTATGTTTCAAGATTCACAGAGAACACTCTATAATCACTGCTGACTAATTTCTCTCTCTCTCTTTCCTTTACAGTCTGTACGAGTGTGGCCCCAGGGAGATGAGGTGATGCAGACGGCTCGGTACTGCTCCAATATCCGGCTCCGGGAGGGGTGGGAAGGGGTTCGGGGCCAATAAGCTGAGCAGCCCAGGGGTGTGAGTGGCTGACTGCCGCGCTTTGATTTGCAACCAGCTCAATAATGGGGGTAGGGGGTAGGACCCGGGGAGGCACAGCAGAGCCGGGAGTTATCGCCATTGCAGTAGCGTGATGCACACAACAACGAGCATCGTTCTATGTTTATATATTTATTTATTTTTTGAAGGGGTTCTGTTAAAATTGTCTGGTTTTTGCGTCTCTCTTCGCTTTTGCCTGTATGGCGCTCCCCCCCCCCCCCACCCTCCTTTCCTGAGGCGCCCCTGATGGGCCGGGAGGTGTCCTGCCGGAGGTCAACGAGCAAGGTAATCTCAGCGAGGCGCCCCGAGTATGCCGCGCCACGCCTCGCCACGCGCCTCCGGAGGTGGCCGTGGTTGGGCAAACATACTCGTAGCGGAGGCGAGGTAGGCGAGGGGCCCTTCGCGATGCCTGCTCATACGTTTTGTAATCAAACTTGAAATTTTAAAATGCATGTAAAAAAAATAAAAATTAATCAGCAATTATTTTTTTTTAGAATTGTTTAGTTGTAAGAACACGAACCCTTCCACCCCTGTCCCATTTTCCAAGAAACTCTTGCTCTTCTGACATGAGAAAAGACGAGTCATTACTTCCCTTCATTCATACTAACACGTTAGTTTCCTGCTGTAAAAGGGGCGTGTACTTGACTTGCGCTCTCTCTTTCGCCTGGCCCCTGGCCCCCCCATCCAGAGCGCGTCTCTGATGCTACTTGCACCATACCGGCTCGAACTGGGTCATCGGCCCAACCCCGGGCGGGGCCCACCCTCTGAAGGTCCTGGCTGAGGGGCGGGCGGGGCGGGCGGGCCCCCGGCTGGGGCTGCGGGTGGGGCTGCGGGTGGGTGGTGACGAGGAGGGTGGGCCTGACCGCGCTGCGCGGCCCCAGCGGGGCACAAGTATAGTGTTGAACCGCCCGCAGCGCGGGATATCTCCCCAACGCTCAACAACCCAGTTTAGTGCAACGATGTTAGTGTGAAAACTATGAAGATTGTGAATATTGAGCAATTGTTTTCTCCTGTTATAAAAAAAACAACAAAATATGTGTTTTTTATACTCAAATAAAAACTGAGTTCTTGGACTAGGTACAGCGAACTTGATCCTTGATTTTTCACGTGCATGTCCTCGATTCAAGTGGCGTATACCTCTTGAATTATTGTTGCAAGAACTTAGTGTTTTTTGTTGTTTTTTTTTTGGGGGGGGGGGGGAGGGTGTATACATACAAGTCGTTTTGGGCTTACGAAACGCTGTTCTAGGTTGCCCGAGCCCCGCGCCGTTGCGCCTCGTGCAGCTCCCTTTATTCCGAGCCGGCCCGACGCGTCCCCCGCTCCCCTTCCTCGTCATCGTCACCGTTTTCCAGCCGAACGAGCTTTCTTTGTCAGAGCGTAGCGCGCGCCTCGGCGTTGCGGAGCAGGGCACGGCGGCCATACTAAATGGGAAAGGACACTTTGGCGCGCAAATAATGACTAATTTTAACCTGGTCGGTTCCGGAAGTTGTGCTCTGCTTGTATCACATCGCATTTCTATAATATAATGTTAAATTTAGTATTTTGAGTAAATTTTGGGGCAAAGTTCCTGTGATTTTATACAATATTTGAACTCATAACGGTGGCATTATTGAGAGTTAGTGTAGTGGAAAATTTTCCCGTATCATATTATACCGTTCTACAGTATCTTTCACAGTGTGAGTCGACCGCGTTCAAAGCGACCCGGAGGCGCGAGTCATCCGAGCGAACGAACTTTCTGCTCGCTTTCTGCGCTCTGCAATTGGAGAGAGAGAGAGAGAGGGAAGGGGGGGTGTGAGGCGTTGCTGCGGCTGCACCAGGCGTGGAGGCCTTTGTCCACGTCGCCTTTGTCCGGTTCTAGAGAGCGGATAAAAACGGTACGGATAAAGATTGTGAAAACCGGTGAAACCGGTAAAAACCCATCTCTGTGACAAAGTTTTGCTCGTGACCGTGGTCTATTGAAGTTAGGCGAGGAGATCCAGCAGAAGCACCGGAAATATAAGTGTGACGCATGTAGCACCAATTGGTGCATTTTGTGATCACATATTCCGTTTGTTTGCACTGGAAACGCAAGTGTGTAAATGTCGCACACTTTTGGATGTGCGAATGCCGAGGGAGAAATCCCTTGCGAAATAGTTCGTACACTGTCCCCCGGAATAGTCCGAAATAAAGGCGAAATAGTCGCGAAATAACCCCCGAAATACCCCCGAAATACCTCGAAATACGCTTAAGTAATCCGAAATAGGCGAGAAATAACCGGAATGGCAGAAGAAATACCACGAAGTAGCCCGTACGCTACGAACCTATGTGATTTTCCCGTCGGCGAATGCCCAATCGTACACTTGAGGAAAAAGAGTAAAGAGTGTGAATTTTTCTTTGAAGTTCACACACTTGGTCCTTAATGTGTACAAATGTTGTTGACGCACCTTTGAGTGTGTGACATTCACACACCTGTGTTTCCGCCGGTATGTGTTGTTTGTTTGTTTTTGTTTATTTTGATCGATTGTGCTAGCGTCACATTTTAGTATCAATTGGAAGGAGACCATTGGATGTAACATGGATTCCAAAACAACAATATTCGCAATTAGGGGATTCCCGGGACCCCCCCCCCCCCCTCGGATCGTTAATTTCCACCGCCTGACGCGTACGTACTGTGGCTCCGAGCCCCGCTATTTTGCCAGTAATTGCCCTTATCAGATGTGATAACGAACGAACGACTGTCGAGCACGGCCCGTTTGCCGACGAGCGGAAAGAATATTCCAGATGTTCCAAGCCGACGAGCGGGGATAACTTTTCCGAACGAATGACTTTTCTTTTGAATCCCTTTTCTTTCAGCTCGCCTTTCAGTTTGCGATCCTATCTAATTTAATAAGTCGCGAGGCAGAGGCGACCCGGCTTGTCGCACATCGAAGATTCCTTTAGAGTTCTATCGTCATTTCCGATCAGATTTGTCAACACGGCTCAGCGTTTCAATTAATAATGTTCACTGTAAAAAATATCGTCGTAAATTTAGAAAAATTTTGTAAGCTTGAATTATAATTTAAGTTTTGTAAATTTACGACAGCACATTTTTTACTCGCCAAGGGATTTGAAGTCGATACATGCTGCATGTATTTTTATTTTTACAAATTGTAATTTTACAACCTGCCGAGCAACTTGCGGCAGGGAAAATTTTCCTGTAAACATACCTACTTTTTTTCACAGTGTTCCGTGTTCCGTTAATATGACTTGACCGGCTCGTTCTAAATTTCTTATCTAAAGTAGCCGCCGGCTTTCATCGGTGTGCACCGGTAAGACGAGCTTGCAGGTGTGTGAGCGGCACATATAGAGGCACGCAAGTGTGTGAATTTCAAAGTAAAATTGACACCTCTATACTCCCTTAGGTGTGCGATGAGCGAATTCGCGAATATGGGCATTCACACGCCTACAAGTGTGCGATGTTGACGCCCTTGCGTTTCCAATGTGGTGGGAGTCCGTTTTAATTTGAGCGCCGCTTGATGCAGTCGACACGAGGCGCGTTATCTCGCTCTTTCTGCTCAGCCGCCCCTCCGGAGCGGAGCTGGCGGAGCGGAGCCAGCCCGGCGGAGAGCGCCCGGGAGGGTAGGCGCCAGGCACACCCGCACGGCTCTGGTGTCGCGGGGGGCAGCCTACCCCGGCGCTCACAGGGGCTTTCCCGCGGCGCGGCTGTCCTCTCCCTCATCTCTCTTCACCCCCCACCCCCACCCCGCTCTCTCTCTCTCTCTCTCTCTCTCTCTCTCTCGCTGCGGGTGGGTGGTGACGAGGAGGGTGGGCCT